TGGCTACCTAAAAGGGTTCTTTAGGCAAAGTTTCAGGATTTTCGATTTTTCTAACCTGGCCAGCCATTCTCGATATTTTCAGTCAGTGACTCTTAATTCAAGTCGATTAATGTTGAAAATATAAAGACGTTGATAAAATATCACATGAACCACAGCAGTCATGATACCTTTACAACTGGTTAAGTTCACTTGTGCGGTCCAGGCTCCTCTCCCTCCGCACTGAGTAGACGAAGGACCGCTGAGCTGATATCCATGAGCGCAAGAAAAAGAACAGGTGGACCCATACTTTTGAATGGAAGACAGGCAATGGGAAGGAGAAACTTGGACACCACTCCCCAAAGAAAGCTTTTGGCACGTGTTAGCTGACAATTAAAACAAGAGACAGCGGATCGAGACATTGAAAAAAACATGTGAGCCTGTGAGGAAAAACAGGAAACCTGACTTTACAATCATAAACAGTTTTATCCACATTATAATTTGACCAATCTTTTTTTTTTTTTGTTTGTTTGTTTGTTTGTTTGTTTGTTTGTTTGTTTGTTTGTTTGTTTTTTTGGAGCGGTGAGTGTTTAAATCTTTGCTTCCCCCAGATATGAGGGGAAAGCTTTAAACGTAGCCTCACGAATGGGAAGAGAACACAAAACCCAAATGGCACAGACATACCTCTGCGGGTTTCACAAACGTAAGGAAAACTATTTGAGCACCCCAGGTCGTTCCATTTCCATCCATGTACCTTAGGATACATTTCTGCACACTCTTCATAAACACTGTTAGGTTCTCCCCCATACCAGTAAGTGTATGTTGGACGTGATCCGTCGACCCACAGCCAGCGAGACTTATCTTTAGGATCCCGGTGCATGCCAATCCACGTTCGCTGACGGATTTGTGAGGTAAGCGCCTGTTGTTCAGTTTGTGAATTTATCACCACAAGATCGGAACCGAGTGCTTTACAGGCAGATTTTGCTGCAGTCCAATTCAAAGCCTTGGAAGAGAACTTGTAACACGAACCTTGCATGTGAATCCAGCTGTTTGGACACACTATAAAGATATATTCTATGATCGCAAAACGTTACAGGTTTCATCGTCGAACGTTGAGCTTAATTAGTCTCTCTTCAGATGTCTATTGACCCTGAAGCATAGATACTTACTTTTACTTGCTTAGTACGTAGATTGCGCCGTTCAATTTAGAAATAATCGGTCGAAAGAAACCCGATCTGAGCAGGTTTGAGACAGATTCTAAACTGTCATCATGCGAGATGTTTCATAACAAATCATTTACCNCTTTTTTTAGCCATGCTATTTTATTGAAGATTTATAAAGTAACAATTCTACCTATTTTAGACTACGGTTGCACCGTATGGGGATTTTGCAGCAAGAAGAACTCTGATTTTTTAGAAAGGCCTTAAAATAAGCTGAGGCGACGAGAATAATTTTGAGAACAAATCACTTAACGTGCACACAGTTTATGAGAGAGAGGCTTGGTCTGTTAACCCTATTCAATAGGCGGCGTTATATGCGTCTACAGTTAGTTTATAGACTCGTGAACGATTATAATTGTCCCAGGCAACTACAAGGCTATTTTGCATTACGATCCGACCTCCGTGGTAAGGTGTTGAGAGACAACAGAGAACTTCATCTCCCTAGAACTAAAACTGCTATGGGCCAGTCCACACTCATGTACGCTGCTGCCAAGGAATGGAATGACCTCCCAAACGACCATCGAAACTGTATTAGTCTGAAAATTTTTGAAACTAAACTTTTAAAATTTTTTAGTGATTTAGACAAGACTGATCATAAATGCAGTGTTTAGATTTTTTTTTTGTAGTATTGTTTGATTGATTATTGTTTTTTACCATGTAATTTATAGATACTGATCATCGGTTTATACCAGCGTTTTCCTCCCGGACTTCGCTGATCGATCTTTCAGTTTTAAATAAAGCTTTTATTATTATTATTTACCTTTCTCTTGATGCTGATGTTACCGTGACTATTGATCTAAGAAACGCGGTGTACTTCTGCACAAATGATCCTCTGTTGGTATTATCTCCCAAAGGTCATGCAAAGTGGCACATTTACGAAAAAATCTTGATAAGTGTATAAATCAGATCCTGACCAAAGTTTTAAATTTATCCTCGAAAAGAACGCATAAATCTCTTGCTTCTCGTAACTACCTTGTCACATACTGAACGGGCATCCAAAAAGACGTTAGAGACTTAGAACTCGTTATATTCTTCTGATGACCTCTGGTGAAGGCTGCCTTTGCTCAGCCAATAATTGAATCTTTAAATATTTAATAATAAATTTTAAATAAAATTAATTATATTGATTTTTTGTTATATGAAATATTTTATCCCTTGAATAATTCGTATGGTGGATTGTCTACTATTACAAAAAAACGAAAAATTTATGCCAGCAGAGAGATTTTCTGACCTAGCATTTCCTGCCTCTTAAGAAGCATAATTTATCCTGTGATCTAAATGACGATACTGATCAGTTAACCAAAGAAATTTAAATTGTATATATATATATTTTTTTCGAATAACCGACAACAAGTAGCGAGGTGGGGCTCATGATTTTAAAAACTCTCTAAAACTGACTGAAAGGAAAGGACTACAACCAGCAAAAACTCAGTGTTACAAGTTCCTGAATCCCATATTAGACGGTAGAATTCTTTAAACAAATTACTGGTAGATACGAAATTTGACGCTATTTTTTCTTTTTTTTTTTTTTTTTTTTTTTTTTCATCAAGCTCCGTTATGTAAGATAACCAAAAATATTTGATTGATATTTAGCAAATAAAGAAGCCTCGACTGCGCTCTGTTTCATTGTAAAGCACGCAGGAAGCGGTAGAGCATGAAAGAAGTACAAGGGGAAACACGAAACGAAGTCGAGTGCTTCTCCTTACTTCTTCAGAGCTCCATCGCGTCCTAAGTATTCTTGTTTTACGGAGTTACTCACCTTGCGAATCAGTTTGCAACACCAATACTGAAAGTCCCACGAGGAATACAGACGCCCAGGGAAAAAGCTCCATGCCAGAAAATAAACTGACTATCCCTTCAGCGACTAACTTCTGATTATCGTAAACACTACGCTAGGAGAGCAAACAATGAATATGATCTTACTCTCAAGTTTAATAACAGCTATACTTTGATGTTCTTGGCACGTGCTACTGTAAGAAAACTTCCCGTCTAGCTTCTGCAGCTTCAGCTTCACGTGCTACTGTAAGAGAACATCCCGTCTAGCTTCAGGGAGTAAGGATATCAGTTTGGAGAACAAACAAGCAGAACAGGAACAAAGTGTCAACTCACAGCCGTGGTAACTTCAACATTTCTAGTTCAGCGACAGCGGAGATTTTAGGTCCTAGCAAAAACAAGACGATCGAGAGGCTTGTCGATTTACTGTCATCTCTGAAATAAAACAGGAAATTATTAAACAATGAAATCTTTATTCTCTAAAGTAAAACGAAAAGCTTTACAGTTTATGAAGCAGACATACGCATTACGAAAGTGGACCATTTAGTTCTAAACACTGCTGAAGAAAGCAAAATATGAAAATTCAACATTTCCGGCTTTTGTGTTTTTACAATTGAAAGCTCAATATAATAACAACAACAGCAACAACAACAATCTTTATTTGTACTCTCTCTCTCACTTACGTCTACTAATTGCACAAAATATCGATAATAAAATTAGGGTACGTACGGGTCCGCAAATGATCCCAGGACCGCAAACAATCCCGGACCGCAAATGATCCTCAAATTGGACCGCAAATGATATTGGACCGGAAATGATCCGCAATAGGGACCGCAAATGATCCCGACTAAAAAATAATGAATGGCATGGATGGTGGAATTGTGTGGATAGGGAATTGGCGTAC